GAAGAAGTGGGAGGGGAGCTGTTGCATTGTGGTGAATTTGGTCAGTGGTGAATTGAGACAAAGTATATGTGAACTGCTGTATGGAAAGTGAATTTGCTCTGTAAATTTTCACCCATATCACAATATTGTTGTTATGTGCCGTCAAATCAGACCTCACTCATAGCGACCCCTCCTTGGGTTTCCGAGGCAGCATCACTATGGAAGTTGATTGCACAACCTTCTTTCCAAGGAGTGAATGGTGGGTTTGAAATGCCAGCCTTTTGGTTAACAGTCACATGCTTTAGGCACTACGCTACCAGAGCTCCTCATGTCACAATAATAATTTAAAAAGAGAAAAAGGAAGTGACGTCCCATACCTCAAACACCCGTTTCCACAGCATGTGAAAGTGACGCTCCTGTACCTCAAACACCCTTTCCTGCAGCCTGTAAGTGATGTTCCCGTACCTCAAACACCCGTTTCCACAGCATGTGAAAGTGATGTTCCCGTACCTCAAACACTGTTCTTCACATGAAAGTGACGTCCTGTACCTCACTCTTCTCAACCTACAAAAGTGACATCCCTGTACCTCAAACACCCGTCTCCACAGCGTGTGAAAGTGACACTCCTGTATCTCAAACACCCGTCTCCAGAGCCTATGAAAGTGATGTCCCCGTACCTCAAACACCCATCTCCACAGCCTATGAAAGTGGAGCCCTCCCCTTAGGACCACAAATGCAGTTTCTCCATGAGCCTTTCGCAGACCTCACAGCCCAGTACTGTCCAGACCGCTGTAGCCAGTAGAGTATCCCTAGTTCTCCCCACAGACTTTTCATTTTAAGGATTTTACTGGAGAAGGACATCATGCTTGGTAGAGGGTCCACCAGAAGAAGAAGACCCTCAGTGAGACGGATTGACCCTGTCTCCAGCCGTGGGCTCAAGCACAGCCATGATTGTGAAGATGACATAGGGCTGGGCAGTGTTTCATTCTGCTGTACAGGGAGTCACTATGGGTCGGAACCAACCTGGCAGGCCCTAACAGCTGCATCAGGGACAGTCTTGGGAGCTGATTTTGTTTCCATTTGTCTTATTGATGTGGTGAGGAAAGCCCATTTCATCTTCTGACATCACTTTATGTTTGTAGGTAGGACTCGCCCAACCTCCCTCCCCCTTAACACCCCACCCACCTCCCAGAAGTCCTCTTCCCAGCAGGGGATGAGAGCCTGGGATCAAAGATGATGTGGGTCCTCACCTCACATGAGAAGCTTGGTCTCTGAGGCCCTCCTCCACACGCATGGGGTATGAGTATCAGCCAGCTTCAGCAAAGATGCACGCCAGGCATTCCCTAACAGCACAATTCAGTTTTCACTGAATGCTAGGATGGACTGTTTGGGGAGGAAAGCTGAGGGAAGGGGCTCCTGGGTCTGATGACTCGGGACCAAAGGGTGATTTGGATGTGCCTGGCCAGGCCACTTCTCCCACCCAGCGCAGTACTGATTCTCTTTTAGTCATCCAGTAAGCTAGTAAGAACAAGGACAAGCAGTGTCAGGCATGACGCGTTTGTAGCCAGGTGGGTGTGACATCTTCCACCCCCACTCCCTTTTTAACGGCTGTTAGTTTATTTTTATCAACCTTCCTTGCAATTCTGTTTTGAGAGCCAGTGGGAGAACATGGAGTGGATTTTCCCCAGGTGACCTGAGGTGACCAGGGACTACCTGCTAGGTCAGAGAACAGCCACAGCCTTGAGGCCACACTGAATTCTGGGATACTCATGTCCATGTGGGAGCTCTTGTAGTGTAGTGCCTAAGGCACTTGACTGCTAACCAGAAGACTGGCAGTTCAAACCCACCAGCCACTCCTCGGAAGGAAGACTGGGCAATCTACTTCCGTAGAGATACGCCTGGGAAACCCAAGGAGGGGTTCTGTGAGTCGGAATCAACAGACGGGCAGCAGTGAGTTGGGTCTCCGTGTGCGGGGGGTGGGGGGGGTGTGGAGAATGACTCAAAAACCCAGGTACTATACCGGGGCTAACTTGCGCTTGCTTCCCAATCTGTAGTGGACAGTTTCACGCAAGTAAGCCCCTGCCAGCCTTGCTGCCAGGGTAAGCGCACACTGTCCGTGCAGGTGTCCTCTCTCCACCCGCGTCTGCGAAGACTGCCCACTTGGTCATCTGGCTAAACACAAAGTTTCCTCACTGGCTCCAAGCGACTGGCACGGGTTTCAAGCAATGAACTGGACACGTTCCGTTACCCGTGCCGCCGCCCAGGCTGGCGAGCAGCTCTTCTCTCCTCCCGCCCCAGCAAACCTACCAGTCGCGTTCCCCTGAACGTGAAGCCGGGCTCCTGCGGGACAGCACTGGGTGCCACCGCCACAGGCCGCGAGGACTGCGAGGAGACGGCCCGGAGGGTCGCCTGGGGCGCCGCCCGCGGCCGGGCTCCGCTTGCAGCGCCCTCTCCCGGCCACGAGCCACGGGTCCACCTCCTCGCCCACTCGGCCCAGGCGAGGCTGCCCGGTTGGGGGCCGCTCGCTCCCAAGTTGCGGGGCGGGGCCCAGGCGGGGC